ACGTCGCGCGGCATTCATTTCCATCGGCGGTTTCCGTTGCTTCTGGACGGAATCACGAGCGCGGACGCAAACACGCGCTCGTAACGTATGGCGCATAAGCTGTTCGCGTTAACCGGCCACTTTCAGATTGGATGGCGCGCTCCTCGGCATATGGATTCGTCGCGGATTGACCCGCGGTTTTCATCGTGAAATGGGAATTTCATTTCCATCGGACCCCGACTGCGGGGCGGCTGCCAGGATCGAAAAAGCGACGGAACTTTCGCTCTGCGCGTTTTTCGTTTTTCCGAGATGAACCTCGGAGAATCCTGTGCCGTCACTCTTCCGTGAGACGCAAGACGACCAAGGGGATAGAATTTATTTTGAGTGTGTAGGTATTGGTAGGTTCAGGACTAACGAAATCAACTGATAAAAATTAAAATTGATGCTGTGGTGGCTGTTCTGTAAGGGGAAGCGAGGACAGGAGGTGCCACCACGATACAATGACGTGTCGCGAAACACGTTAACGTTGGTATTTCGCGACGGCATAATCGACAGTCGTGGACACTAAGGATTGTCCAGGGCCCTGCCTTCCGTTTCCGAAGCGCAACGAACCGACAACCCCGAAAAGCGAGAAGACAGAACATGTTCCAGCCGTGCCCCGCGAACGAGGCCAGTCCACCTTCACGCTGCCACACACGGCAGGGCTTCCCCAATTATACCGCGAGCTCCGCGAAACTTTCATAAATTTCGTCACAGAACGAGCAAATGGCTTCCGGTCCAGCGGTCGGACATTGTCGATAACAGGCACGTCGCCAGGGGCGAATTCAATATCGCGTTCGCACCGTTCTCGTCCAACTCCACCGCGATCGCCACCCCTTCTCCCTTCTGTTTCCATCCCCTCCGCCGTGCCTTCCTACGCCACCTCTGTCGCCCTGCACCGACCACCCTCCACGCACCCCTCGCATTGTCCCTCTCATTGTTCCCAAAGTTTTCGGCGAAGCCGCGTAGTGGCTGCGCGACGCGATTACCATATGAATTAAAGTAATGTGATATACGGTCGCGGGGACCAGCCCTGGGGCCGACATGGTTTGAAGAAGACACGGGACCAAGACGAGGAGGAAACGCTGGGACCGGAAGCGATCTCGCCGAGGACCAATGGCTGTTAATTAACGCTGAAACTAACGCGCCAAGTCGATTGGATCCTCGAGATACATGCTTCGATAAAGTCTAGGATTTGAAGAAACGTATCGTTGTGGAAGTACGAAGACACCCTGCGGCTCCTGTCGAGTGGCGTCAGGAGTTACGTAATGAAGCTTAAACGACGAGCTTCGTCGAACTCGAGGAAACGTACGTTTATTGAGATAGAATTGAAACGGTGGCCAGGTAGAAATATAAAGAAAACGTAAAAAGAGGAGGGCATAGGAAAATTTAAAAGGAACGCGGAGCTAAGACGAAGAGACTTTCTTGGGTCACCGTCAGGACGTTAGAACCAAAAGTTTTTACGTCGAAACTTCGTCCACGTGCAGACGCTCCCGAACGCGGTTCAAATCGGAGGAATTTTGGGAATAAAATTTTACGGTTTCGCCGTTAACGCCTTGGGAGAGACGGTTCGCCGCCTCGGAGAGGAAACCTTTATCGAGTTTTCATATTCGGGGTAGGAATTCGGAGCATCGCTTACGATACGTGGCGGTGAACATTCCTTGAACATTTTTGCTGGTCATTTGAAGTATTCACTGTTCCGTTGATCGAGAACGGACACTGGCGATGTAGAAATCGCGCGCGTGCTCCGGGGTGCGTTCAGATAAGAATTCTCGTCCCCGGGAAACTGGCTGGCTGCTTTAAAACAGTGACGTGGTCCCCTTTGGCCGCGGTTTGGTCCTCTCCTCGAGCGATTTGAGAGCGTTCCCGGGGGCTCACAATGGCTATCGGTTTGACGGCGCGCGTAGCACGCGTCTCTGCTTTCTGGCCAACGCGATATCTCGATCGCAATAAATTCACATTAACCTATCTGCTGGTGTGGTCCTGGCCGCAGCTTTAATACATCCCATCGACCTGGCCGCCCCCTCTATCAGCCGCGGATCCGCTTCGTTGTCGGCGCCGATTTTAATTTTCCAATTTTACGAGCCTCCCCTTCTTCCTCCCTTTCGGTTACAACAATTTATTGAAACCTTTATACGATAACAAAGTCTTTAGTTTTTATCTCGTTCTTAGAGAACGAGTAGTTACAATTGAGGAGACAGAGCGGCGCATCGAGACGCCTGGTGTAAGGGTTGGTGACGTAGGTGTTGCGACTAACGGCGTAAAAGCAGGCGAATACGAGGTCGCTTAAACGATGCGGCTCGCAATGACCGGTGTAAGGCTAGGGCATTAATTTCTAGTAATTATCAGAGGCGTAATTCACCCAGGGAGGGTCGCGGGTCGCGTCCGGGGTCGGCCAGTGCGTGTTAACGCCGTTGTTATGCCCCATTATATTGTCCTACCTACACGGTAACCAGAAAGGGGAAAAGGCAACTGCGTCCCGGCAACCCCACGCATCTAACAGATATGTTACGAAAAATCTTAAACCCCTTCTCTGCCCTCTCGAGCCAAGGATTAACAAAGATTGTACTAAAACTGTGATTCATTCGCTATCAGAGTTTGTATCATTTTCGTTTTCATTTTTCTAAGGCAGCCAGAACATTCTCGCCGTCCCATCGTCTCGCGACCGTGGCGAAAGATGATTCATCTACGCGTAAAGTTAAAAACTCGGGCAATTGTGCCGGCGAACAATGGCGTACAGCGTCACCGCGTAACGAATCGCCGCGAAAATTGATAAAATATTATTAAATCCACCTCCCACCACCGGTCGCCGACGAGGAGATAGCATTACTAATTTATTTAAATGGACTTATCTCTCCAAAGCCCCGATAGGAATGTAAATTGAACCCCACCGAATCAAGGGAGTAATGGCACGAGTAAGATAAAGATATTTTATTGCTTTGCGGTCGGACATATTTAAGCAGGGTGAAAAATCTTTTTCACCGCCGTCGAACGGTTAGCTACAACGTCGATCTCAGCCCTCCCCTTGACCCGGTATCGCCTGGGACTCTCCTAAAGTCTTTTCATTTTAAAATCGGTTCGACTTCAGACGCGAACCCTGAACGTCAACGGGAACCGCTATGCATCGTTCAAATTCGCGAGACTCAACGGTGACGAGAAACGGAAGCAGCCCCGGATGCGATCGTGCGGCAGGACCATCCCACCACCAGGGATGAAACCGGCCTCCGAGAGGGGGAGGTATCAGGGAACAGGACAGAGGGGTGGGAAGGCGGTACGTCCTCTTCTGCACCTTGATTTACTGTCGGTGATATTTTCTCGTCGGCGCTAGTTGGCGCCTACCGCACCACCGCACCCGACAATGGCGGTCGCTTGACATTTTGTTTCGAATTATTGCCCGCCTGGCCGGTCCTTTCTATTTCGGCCAGCCCGCTCGCTCCTACGCCACGGACGACAACGCTTTTGTTGCGTGTGCTCTCTTTTTTTTTTCATTTTTTTCATATTTTTTTTTTTTTTTGTTCCCCAGACAGGTCTTTGTTGCGCCGCGCGCGGTATCCGCTTCGAGTTCGGCGGCTGTCCGCCCGCCGTGGATTTACAGTCTTCAGCGACAGGACAGAAGGATTCAGCGATGTCGGCGATATGCTGGCCGAGACCTCTCGATGCCGCGTTTGTTCCCCGCTTCGAGGATAATCGGACGACCCGCGACGATACAGCTAGCGATGCTCCGTTTGGCGAGGTATCCGCTGAACGGCGTTATCGTTTGCTGTCTTATGTTATTAGGTGGGCGAGTTACAGATGATGGAATATTTACAGTGTTCGCGTTCAAGTTACGCTTCTGCTCTTGAAATAACCCTCAGAGAGTATCCTGTAATTACCGTTGGCGTCGCGTGTGAAAAAGCGAACGGCCGAATCGAAGCATATGCCCTGGAAGAGTGCCGTCGCGAACGGTGAAAATCGTTTAGCGACGCCTGGTCGTGATCGAAACACTGCACCAGGGATCATCGTGAGACCGGTGTAAGCTGCGTGTTCGCAGTCAAGTTACATAATCGCGACGAAGCACCGTGGCTAATCGAGAATCAGGGTGACCGAGGACGCGGGATCGAGGTCCTTTCAACCGATCCAGAAATCGTGCAGCTTTCTACCCTACTAACGAGCTCCCCCTCTCCCAAAACTTTTTTTTCATAACACAATCGATTGCAATTCCTTACAATGATCGAATTTAGACGTACCGACACCTATCCTTCGAAGACTTCCTCGACGAATCGAAACGAAGATTGCGAGGGTGAGTCACTCCTCGATCGATCCGTTCAGCCGAGAAGTAGATACAGCCTAAAGGGCAGACATTCGGTGATCGACGGGCATCGAGTGGTTCCAACGTCGAAGACGTGACTCGTCTGGCGAGAATCGGCAAACCGAGAACTTAATGTCTCGGAACGGACGCCGTATTAGCATATCCGCGTCCAATCGTCGCCCACGTGGCAAGGGCGCCGTGGCGAATCGGCCCTGGGCTATGACATTGTCATTATTTCACTGACAGAACAAGCATGCGCGCGATTCACCACGGAGAAGTATCGCTAACAAGGGTGGGAAGACCGACCGTCTGATCGAGGCCAAGGGGGATAACTGGCCGATGTTCCTTTTAAATCGAACCACCAAACATAATGGCCTAGGATCTCTTTCAAATCCACGCACGGCCTTGGGGTCGTGTGTTCTTATTCGATCGTCGCGGTCATCGTTTCGTGGAAACATTTCGAAGTCGACGTTTCGACAGCGCTTTCCTGTTCCGAATATCAAAGAAAAATTGACGCGAGCATCGCGCTCGCAGCGAACATTTCCTCGAATTCGACGTCCACCGAGAGGAAAACGGCGATAATAAGACAAAACACCGCCGGAGGAAACGGAAGCGTCGAGAGGCGTATTCCAGTCGTTAAAAGGACGAGGGAAGCAGGAGGTCGCCGGGGTGCAGGGGATGATGGGAATTTTCGAGAGGGGGGTTCCACCTAGTTTTATAAGGGATACAACTACTCTGGAAGCCCCGTGGATGCTTCGTGTTATTTATCTTTATGGACCTCGGGCAGAGGGTAAGTACACTTACAGAGGGGTTGGAGGGGGTTAAGGGCCGAAGTTAAGCCGGAACGAGGGCGGTAAGAGATTGTTTGTCGTATTGGCTGCGGTTTCGACGGGCTTAACGTTACCCGTTTAGGGGATTTCTCTGTGGATTTTTCTTCGTCGAGGCCGATACCTCTTCAGATAGTCTTCCGGGAGCTTTCCTGTTCGATGGTCGATTCAACAAGTCAACGTTTGCCGCGTACTCGCCACCGATGATGTCCTTCGACACCCTGGACGAGTGGTACCACCAAATATTTTCGACCAGGGAAGCTACATTTTTTAGTATTCGCGACGGGAACGATCGATTCGTCTGTGCAGAGCACAAACTGTGCCCCGTTTCCTCAGAGCTCGTAGCTTTTGAAAATAATCGTCTCGGGACGCAGGGTGTTTTACGAGCGATCGTTTTATTAGGAAACGACGATCGATCCGACGCTCGCGAGACCATAGGAGTACATTGGAGTGGTCAGAAATTAATCTATTGCCGTGTAATCGGCTTTTGATGATACAGAGACAATCGAACGAGAGCGGGAAAAGAGAGAATCGAGCAAAAACAGGGGCCTTGATGCCACCTCTCAGCGAAAGTATTATTACGTGTAACGAATTACGATGCAACATTTAAGTAAGCTGTCTAAAAATATTAATATTAACCGACAGTGGGTATCGCGCTTAATTTTGTTCTATAATGTAGTAAATAAATCATTGTAGAATATTTCTATTTGTCATCCAGTATTCAAATGAAATTTTGCCCAACTCGATTACTAACACCACTATCAGAGTCACGAAAAAACACAGTAATCCATCACATATCCTTTGTCAAAAAATTCGTACATTTCTCGTACAAAAAAAAAATATCACAAAAGAAATGAAAAAAAAAATGCGAAAAACTGAAATTGGGGGATGGTGTTACGGTTACGCAGAGTCCTTCTCACGTGATACTCTTTTTATTCGTTAACAACGATTCCGGGTACATACAGTGCTTATGTACAGAGTGATATTTACATTCGAGTCGATACAACGTGACACGTCGTGATAAATAATTCTAAAACGAAACAGAACGTCGGTTATCCTTACGTCTAAACGAATCATTTACATCTGGTTAATATCGTATGCGTAGAACCGAGACGACATCGTATGGACCGCGATACCCTAAGTGTCGATATAGGATTCGTTATTTGACAACGTCGAATTCTACACAGAGCAACTATTCGCAGCCACTTTGCGACGAGAAATATATACATGCTACTGGTAATTATTGCTGTACAGAATACTGTAGTCTTTAATTCTATTCTTAGCGATTGTAATCGACGAGTCGCCGGTCGTTATCCTTCGAATCCAAGGTAACCAATTAACCACGCGATATTTGGCAAGATACTTTAATAAGGTTTCGACGATGCTTGCGATATGGTTAGTTCCATCGCTACCTACAGGTGACCGGAGCATCATCCAAACGGTGGTGAAATAAGCAAGCATTAAGCCCCCGGAGAACGTGGCGATAAGTCAAGCAATTCCAGACAATATTAAACCACTCTGGCCGGCAGGTTAACCCTATGTTAAGCCGTACGTCCACGGGATTCGTGGCTGCCGCGGGGGTGGAGTCGACTAGGGGGGTGGCTGGAGGTCGCGTGTATTTAAAACGCGAATGCGCGCCAGCCGATTCACTGTTTGAAGTTAAATGGAGTGTAAATGGCAGATAACAAACCGGCACTGTTTCCGATTACGGCATTCATTGTTTCCTACCATTATGCGCGCTCCGACGGTTCGTGTGTTAGCCCGGGGTACGGTTTACGATCTATTTATTGCCACGCCACCCCCGACACACGAACGAGCGCGGCTTACACACCCGCCTGTGGACGACTCTAGCCCCACCTGCGTTATACACCCCCTCGACTCACCTGCCTTCCGCGAAACGCGAATAACACGATCCTCGAAACGCTCAGCTTTTCAAATTTTTTAATCGATCAGCGATGAGCTTAGATTCCACGGAAAGAAACTTCGATAAAGTAAAATTTCAGTTAAAATATCGTCACGGTTACCTGTACTGGAATTCAAGGGACCTTCCAGCGACCAACGATACCCTTAAAGCTACGATAATGTCCGAATTATTTACAAATTTCGCCTACCTAATATTGACTAGAGAGGGAATGCCGCTTTATCGCGGATCGTAAGATAAAGTCTGTCTATGATAATCGGTAAAGTACCTATCGATTAGCTCGTTATCGTACGCGTATACCACGTATGTAAATGCCATATTAATCATTCACGTTATTAACTTCAATAAAGGGGGACGTGCAAAAACTTTTGAACATCCATTAACAATGGACAATAGTGATAGTACAATATGCATACCGCGGGGTTCGAACTACGTACATTTCGACTACCGACTCGAGAGCGTGGTTATCTAAAACGGAAACCAAAAAACTGGAAGAACTTGGAGTCTCCGTCAACGACTTGAAACATTCAAACTCGAATAAAAATCAACAAACTCGAAACAATCGCGTCGAATAATTGAAAACGCCGGTACTCGTAGTCCTCGTTTTCAATATCCCGATACTCTGCAACCCTTCTATAAAGTACAGTAGTTAAACGAGAAAATTATATATACGAGGAGAAATCGCCCGGCCGAACTTCAAAGCGGACAGGAACTAATGCTAGCTGATTTGTACAGTCAGTTTCGTAAGTATTCACACCCTCCATTGAAGAAATTTGTCTAAATTAAATAATAGATTTGACGTTCTGAAATCAATTTTGTATTATGAACATATACATGTGTGAAGTTTATCCCTGTACATACTTATAACCAAACATTTATTTGGAAACGTCAAACCTTGCTTTAATTTAGATAAATTTTTTTCAATAGCCACTAACGGTACGAATAGTTACGGGACTGACTGTGCATGTAAGGTCGTCTCCGCATCAAAGTTCGGCGACCTGTGATAGAAGACTATCGAGAATATCCAGTCCTGATTTTTCTCATTCGGTCAAGCACTACCGTACGTCTATCTTTCCACCCAGATCTGGCCAGAATGGACCGTGAATGTTTCCTCGAAACATTCCCAACGTCGATTAAACGTCCTCTCCGAGAAGAGTCGCGCGTTAATTGTCAAAGGAGTAGCCACTGGTCAGGATCGCGGGATCCTTGGACGGCGATTTCCGTCGTCACTTGCTGTGCACCGTGGTGGCCCGCCTCTTCACCTCGACCTGGTCCACGATCGCGTCGCTCTCCTTGTCCTGGTGGGCGGTCATGTGCCTGGTCAGGTGATGCCTCTCTCGAAAGCTCTCGTCGCAGACTGGGCATCTCAACTTCTCCTCTCTTCGTCTCCTCGAGGACTCGCCGATGTTCTCGTTCTTATGATGAGATCTCATATGGTATACCAGATCGGACGTCATTCGAAAGGATAGATTGCACTTGGCGCAAACGTTCTGTGCTTGCAGGGTGAGAGCGGTGAACGAAGGTGGTAGCAGTCCTGCCACTCCGGCGGCCGTCGCCAGGAATCTGGGTCTAGCGAGAGCATCGGCCATCGGCGGGAAGACCGAGATGGGGTTGTAGGAGAGATTCGGGTAGACTGGTGGCAAGTCTGGTCGGAAACTGGGCATCTTTGGGCTGGGTACCTTGGGCGGCTGAGGGATCTGAGGTATCTTCAGATTCTCCAACAGACCTGGTTGACTGGTCTCTGGGCTCACCAAGAACGGATACGATATCTTGGCGGGGAACGGCGCGTATTTGTAGCCAGCAGCAGCCGTGAACGGGACCGCCGGTGGACTGACGCTGCTTTGATAACTGGCGCGGTCATCCGGCGATATGGAGGACCTAGGCGAAGTCTGTCCGTCGTCGTTGAACCCGTTCCTTTGAGCTGTGAGATTCACTTTAGTGAACGCGCTGCGAGACTCCCCGTGTCTGTCGCTGGAACAGGGAATACCAGACTCGTACACCTTGCTGCAGGCCAGACCGGTCTCCACCGAATCGGGACACGTCAGCAAAGATTGATGACCCCCGAACGCCGGCGGACTCGGTGTCTTCTGCAGGCGCGAGCTGGAGACGTATCTTCGAGCGTCGTTGTCGGGCGACAGACACGGCAGTGTCGGCGTCAGGGTCCTAGAGGTGATGTACGGCGGACTCAGCGAGTTGTCCGTACACTGCATCATCCTTCTCCTCTCCGAGCCTCCGGTGTCGCTCTCGTAATTCTTGATCGTCAGATTCTGAGGTAGTCTGTCGGAGTCTACTACCTCGACGATTCGATCCGTCGAGATCACGTCGCGATGACGATCCTTCCTAGTGGATACCAGTCTCAGCTTCTCGCTCTGACGACGCGCCAAGTTCTCGTCGGGAGCCACCAGGAAGGCCACGTCGAAGGAACGCTTGTTGGCACGCTGTATGGGATACGAGGCGTCGGAGGTGACGTCGCTGATGGACGATGGACTGGACGACGTTAGCGCCGTCGTAGCCGTCGTAGACGTCGCGGGGGCGGCACGGTCGATGCCACCCGTGCGATCTTCCATTGTCATCCTGCCCGTTCCGGATGATCGACCTGCGACAATGACGGGCGACGGTCAATTTAGTCGGATACGGTAATGATGGATGAGGATCACGCCTGGACCAGGTGTTACGCTGTGTTTGGGGAGTAATTGGGTCAATGAGAATCGACGGCGGGTGATTTTCGTCGACGCGTTTCGAATAACCAATGGACAGTTGGGATTGATCGTGGACAGGGTGATGCGTGCAGAATTTTCAATGCAGTTACACCATGGTCTGATAGTATTTAGAATTGGAAAAAAGGTTCGAAGAGGTCTCGAAATCTGAACTTCGTTTCACAAGGAATACACACTTTTTCTTAGAGAGAAAATAGACTTTTTTCTTGACCACTGTATAATTCGTAAACATACGAAAGAAAAACGCTGGAGTACACTACCAACGTATACTTCAAGTGTCAATGCTCCCAGTGGAGGCAACAAGTACCTCAGAAAGCAATCGGTAAGACCCTCTATAAACAAACTCGCGACTTCTAATCTCAAAACTCCTCGCAAACACTCGATATCCTTGGTAAAGCTACTTTCGTTTCAACTACTATAGTACTCGAAGCAGGACTTACCGGAGTACGCGTCCAAAAGAGTATCTCTTATCTGAAGACGTCCACGTTTTCCACGTCCTATCGATCTAAGTCGTCAGGTAGAGCACTCCTCCATCTCATCGGACCACGGAACGTCCCGGAGCACGTGCGGCTGATGTTCCACTGAATCCGGATAAACACTGAAGAACGCGAGCGAGAGAGAATCCCGAGGGCACAGCGTGCGTCGGCGGACCACGTTAAAATGAGGGAACAGTCCGCGCATCCCTTGTATTTAGGGGTAGAATCTCGCGGAGCTCTGCGTGGCAGGTGGAGGCGCAACGAGGGTGGCACCGGCCAATGGCAACCGTTCCAGGCTTAGACGGGGGTGGAGCGTACGAACGGGGTGAACATATTCGGTCGTCGGGATGCGTCTGCTAGTCCCGTCCAGACCACGCCTACATATTTCAGGTTCGACACATGTGCCTGGGATCGTCGTCGTCGTCGTCGTCACCGTCGTCGTCGTCGTCGACGTAGTCGTAGTCGTGGCCGTAGCCGTAGCCCTGGACGCTTTCCTCTTCTAATCTCTTCGCGTTGCGCAACGCGTTCCGCAGGATCCCTAGACCCCGTCACGAGGATCACTCGAGGAGGGAGGCACCAGGGGGATGCACGGACCCTGCAGGCCGGGGCTGTAATTCAGCCTGACAAACGATCTTGAATATTTTTAACGCCCGCGCCTCCCTCGACTCTCTTTTTATGGTCGACCTCCTGGATATTGGACGTTCGGCAGACTCGTCGAATCCGCTGATGGACCTTCGCCGTTCCGCGATTATCCCGCCGACGCGATCGTTTCCTCGTCTTTCCAGGCAATCTCTGGAAACGCTTTCGTATTCGTGGAATCGCTTTTTTCACTGGCGAGCAACTGTAGCTGTTGGCTGTGAAACGAGCACAGCGAAGGACACCTCAACCGGGGAGGGATTGATAGCCTCGATCGACAGGTTCAACTTCTGAGCAGATTTTAATGCTTCACGGTGGTGGGGTCTAGGTATGGTACTTGGAATTTATTTAAAAATATACAGTAATCAATTTTTATTTTAACAGATACTCCTTGTCTCTCTGTTGCAGGACCCAGGATTCTGCGGCTACCTCAAAGACGACTGACGATCGTGGCTATTCCAGGTCTCGTCGATGGTCATCTTACAAGCGCAGCGCCTCGGTGCCCAAGAGAAATGAGGCGTGTTAAATCGACCGCGCTGGACAGAAGGTGCCAGCAGACGTACGGGAGGGGCGTCATCATTTTGCGGATTATCTTCCTGACGAATTCTCGCCCGTTCCACGGCAATTCGATAAATACTGCTATCCCTCCAGGTGACATACGGCTCCCTCGGAGGCGTTCCCAGGCGATAACGAGGATGTTTTTATCACCGTCTTCCCATGCGCTATTCTATCGTCACCTCTCCTACAAATAAGTCTAGACTTTGCGATGCGAAACAACGATTTGCCAGTCTCAAACATGGAACATACAAATACGTGAAAAATCGGCTAAACGAGTTCCAATCCAATAACAAAAAATGCGAAGCCTCTCGATAATTGGGCCAGTGTTGCAACGAAATGCCTTATAGGACGGTAAAAATAAGGCGAGGCAGATCGAAGAGGAGTTTGCCAGGCGCAATAATTCCCTGATATCGCAAAAGAAACGAAGGGAAAAAGGCTGGCCAGGCCGCGGAGCCAATAGGCGATCAATCATAAACTGGCGATCTATTTTGCCCGGCATGTGAGAGCCGTCCAAGTTCTTGTGCGGTTCTCGAGGCTCCGTGAACTCTACGGGGAACGCCTAGAGGTTAAAGGACATTAACTTCTTGATTGAGTCGGCAAAAAGTTGTAATGACTTTTCGATTGGGCTCCCCAGACCCCTTCAGAGATTCGCGGCGAAGCAAGAAGACGAACAAGCATCCAGTATCCAAGTTTTTCCACGATTCGCAAGATTATTTACGAACCAAGAAATTAACACGTTGGGTGCCAGATCGATATTCTAAGGTAAGAAATTTTACTCCTGCTCTTCCATTAAAAATTTTATTCTCAAATAAGTGGAAACGCTACGTCAACGATCCTTTCGAACGATTAGAAACGCGTAAAGAAGTTTATCGAGTTTAGAGTATAAATTAAATCGCTGTTCTCTCAATGGATCAGATGATATCGAGCGGACGCAGCCGAATCTAATCCTAATTCGTGGTCGTTAAGTTGGGTGAGCCGTTTGGACGACGCTAACGTGTGACACGCGTCGCGTGTTTGAAACGAATCGTTTCTATATCGTGCGTCGACCATCCCTGGCTTATGAACCATATTTATTGCTGATCCTGGCATCCTGTCCCTGCGAAGTCGGGTTGCCGATACACCGATCTCTAATTCCACTTTATGCCTCTCAGCTGACTTTACCCACGGCTCACCGTTCCCGCTATCTTTCGACTTTCTTCTCCGCCGATCATTCTCGAATAATCTTCTGCGAAAATTTTAAAAAATTGTATTTGTTGTTCTTCTACGTACGGCTGCGTTTAATTTTGTTTATAATATATCGGAGCTCGTGAGAATCGTCTAGGTTGAGTGTTTCCAGCATCGGTTCTGTTATTCCTGCAAATCGGCTAGAAAGGGCGACCTCGTGACCCCCAATTCGTCCAAGTTAAACGCGAGAAGGTTAGCAGCCCGTCCGGCACGTGTCCGACACGCGTGAGCTGTTAACACTGACACTGGTTCCAACGAAGGGGTGTTAACGCTGACAACCGACCGTCCAGCGCCAATGGGACACCTTGCGGAAAGGTTTCAGCCCGACTGGTTCGGATAACCCCCGTCGCTACATTGAATTATGCGAAAATTTCTGCAAGATTGGTGGAATTAATTCGCGTAGACAACGTATCCGATGCGTTTCATCCCCCTAACAGCGTTAGACGCAGAGTTATCGTTTGTTCTTTGCCAAAAATCGTATCGTAATCGATGTTTAATTTATTCCTCGAAAGGGACGGTGTACTTCCTCGATAGTTGGATGTGTTTCGAAGCGATATCGCACGATGATACTTTCCGCTCGACTGGTGTCAAGGCGGGGGGACTCTGCTGAGTCTGTCCGGTGATAAATATGCAGCCGATGCAGTTGATGAGAGAAGGTCGTTTATCAATCACCCGTTAACACAGCCCCAGCGTTTCCGTGCAGCTTTGCCGGCTCCGTCGAAAACCTGCTCGCTCCTGCCTCCATATTTCACGGAATCATCGTGATTCTCTTCCGCTGTTCTCCCCCGCGCACTCGATTTTCCATTAAAATCCGACGTCCACATTGGTCATATACAAGCCCCGCCGCTCCAAGGAAATATTCCGCTCGACACTCGATAGAGATACGCTCCGGGCCAATGATGGAACTACAGAACCTTGCTAGAGACCGTAACCTATTATCTGCGGAATTGCGTTTCGATAATGGAACATTCGTCTCCAATATGTGTTCCAAGGGCCTGTACCTGCGCCTTAGGGCCACGCTATAACCCACACGAAGGTGATGGGTTTGTAAGTTGACAAAAGGACGCTTAATAATGAGTTTCACATATTCTATAAATTGTTTCGAACAAACCAAACGAATTACGATATTTTAACTTGTCTTGTTCGAAAGAATAATCTTTGAACGATGTGGATGTAAGGTTCAATTTTTTACGTTCTCCGTCAGTGGACGAGAAGAACGAGCCGTGTCTCGAAGGAACAGAGTGTCTCCTGAGTCGCTGATAAATTGAACGTGTGATGAGTTCAGAGGATTCTTGAAATAAACGGGCGCGACGTACATTCCGCGCGAAAGGGGAAGAGGTGGGCCCGGCACCGGCGACGAGTGCCAGAGATTTAGATTTTACGGGCGCTTGAGCAATTTCTTGACTTATAACTGGGACCATGCATACCAAGTGAGCCATCAAATGTTTCTGAGTGTCTTAATTCCCCGAGTCACCCTCCGAAAAGCCGCGACGCTGCTGCGACCGCGCTAACTTGCAGCACCGACTCCGACGGAGACATTCATCGCGGCGATATTTACCATTGACAGACTTCCTGTTGAAACAGGCCAAACATTGTAATTAGAATAGGACTGTTCTGATTATGTTTCCTTTTCGTAATGGTGAATGAACTTGATAGTGTGAGCGAAAAGGTAACGAAATGAAACGAAACTTTTGGTAGAATCCGTAACGTTTATAGAGACAATTAAAAACGTTGTGTCGGCTAACAGAAAGGACGACTCGTTCCGTGACTGTCATCGATCCGAATCTGGCCACGGTTCAGGATCTCCGCAGTCGCCGCAGGGAACGAGCACCGAATTTGAATTCGCTTTCGGCGTTTACACCGCGGCTGGAGAAGTTGGCTCCCTCCTTCCAGCAGCTCCCTTGTTGGTATCATCCGTAGACGATATCGGGTCGCCGCGCGGTTGCTCTGGGGAATTTAATTCTATTCGAAGTGCCACCTAAGATGCCACCATCGGCTCTTATCTCTGTGCACACGGTGGGCTGCGCGTGGCGGTTGCTTATGTGTTACGTGAATACCTTACCTAAACGCCATAGAGGGGGAGGGTGATGTTCCTGCGTGCGGTTACCGTTCCCTCCTCGCCGACCTCTTCCGCCAACCGCTACGTACGCGGAGGAGCTGGAAGCACAGGGAGGGAGTCGAGCGAGGAAAATTAATGCGACTTCCAACCGAGCGCTTATCGGACGCCGCTATCTCGCGCCTCGCTCGCGGAAAACGTGAGCCGCCTAGACGAGAAGTTCGCGAAATTTAAGCGGCGAAATGCCGCTGAACGTACGCGACCTCCAGCTTTCGGGAATTGGAACCGATTGGGAGAGATACTCTTCGGTTACAGTAAATTACATGCTTTATTAGCTACATTATGTAATACGACGTGAATCCTGTTTGCACGTTCTTTAACGAAATGGCTCCGAGTGCAAAGGGTTAACTATGAAACCGAGAACCGGACAATCCCCTGAAAGTCAAAAGGAAAGGAACAGAGACATCCCGAGGTTTTGGGACATCCTCGCATCCTCTCGGCCCCGCTGGAGAATCGACGCGCGAGCCAGCGACGGGGATCCTGGTGGAGGCATCAGGGGTCACAGTTCATGTAGTCGCGACGGCCTTGCCGACGGCTTTACGATTATATTTGCCGAAATCTTGGAAGAGGGGTGACCGTTTCGCGTGCGTGCACGGGTTCGAGCATCCCCCTTGGTCGTCGAGGCGCAGGAATCGCAGAGCCAGAGAATCGCGAGAGAACGGGGGCGGGTGGCTGGAGGGAGGTGGATGGGAGGGAGTTATTAGAATGGTCCGGAAAAGATGGCGCGGAGTCGCTCCGTATTTTTATACTGTATGGCCGCTGCTTTGCATAATCCCGCACTTAGCTCGCTCGTCCCGAGATGCCGACTCGCTATGCAGATCTCCTCTGCTCTGAAAACCCGAACCTACCGAGCGTTTCGTCGTTCCAACGAATGATGGACGACGCGTAGACCCCGCGCCTCGGACCCTCGAGCTTTCCCTCTTCGAGGATTCGCTTCCTGACGCGCCAAGTGGGAACCGCATCGGTGGTCCCAACGGAAAGCCGAAGAAAAACTAAAGTCTTTCTCTAAAACTACAAATCGCTGATCTTAATTTCATTTCATGACGCGGTATAATCGAATAATATCACCCTTTCGCTGTCTGAAAGGGTTAATATTAAACAGTCGTTCCTCTAACAAATATAGTTCATATTTTTAACGTGTCAAGAATTTTATTCAAAATTGCATTAATTATATGTATCATTATACAGTCGCGTCTTTTGTATGCCGAACTATATCTGGCGATAGTAGCGAGAGGGTTCAAGAAAAGAACGACGTACACGAGTCAAATCGACTTGCCTGATAGTTGCCAGTGTTAATTACCTCTCAGCCAGCAACAATGACAAAGATTCTTCCCGGGGCCAATGTCACGGGACATTTGTCAGCGGGCTCGGTTGAGGCCGAGGCGAACTTCCCCAGCGGAGACGTCTCATTTGCACGGAGAAATCGCATCTTCCTCTCTCCTCTTGTCAGCCGACGGCTATGGCCGGAACAGAGAATACTGGAAACGGTGAGAAAGCGCGGGGTGGCGTCATCAATCTTGCCGCGAAAAGACCCAGGACGACCGTGGCGTCGTTCTGGACGTCACAGATGTGACTTTGATTCTCTTTCGGCGGTCCCTGGAGAAACGAAGCTAGATTAAGTCTTTCCCGCGTGTAATTTGTCGGAGTCCCGATTCCCGGAGCTGCCTAGACGGTATTCTACCCGCGGACATCCAGGGGACACCTGGGTTCTGGAAGAGAATTAGCGACAGCCTCGATTCCTTCGATTCTTCGCGTTTAATCGAATGCTTTACCCAAACGAGAATTTCGTCAATTTTTCCATAAAGTACTACGAGTCACAAATCTCCACCAAGGCGAATGGTAAAAGTGTCATTACGACGAAAACGAGTACGATCACGGAGAAC